TATCTACGATAGACGCACCCACACACTCAAACAAACCCAGATCTGAGTGCCACCTAAAACCAAGGAATCTGACAGACCTATGCAAGCTTTTCTTCATAGTGGATCAACATATATTACTGAGTATTAAGATGATTAGCAAAACATTTCAAGCAAAACGAAATGCATTCACAAATGGTTTCAGAAACTGAATGTAAATATTTGCAAATCCTCAAGTAAACACATATGGTTCAGAGCAATGAAGTGAGCAATGCCGGCTGCCCGCTTTTGTCTGAACTAAAGCACAGATCCAAAAGCTGTTCATGCCCAATGAATCCTCACTGGATCAAAACAACTGAAGAAGGAACAACCTGACATACAGTAACAAAAACGGGAGCTCCAAAAGTCTGAGAGCATTGTAAAATGCTTCTAGCTTTTTTCCTCATTTAGTACAGTTTTCCATACAATATTATATTATATAATAAGTATAACAAGTTCACATGGTCTGTCACAAATTTGTTTATTTGATCAGTGACAAAATAGTGCAAAATCTTTACAAAAAAGTCTTATTTAAATCTTCACATTTTCTTTATTTGATTTTTTAAAATCTTTGTTTGTTTTTAATGTAGATTTTGAATCCTTGATGTTCAGTGTGACATTTTTTTTTTCACGTAAATAAACCAGATTTGCATCTAAAAAGTCTTTGTTAATTAAGTTTAAACATTCACTACACCCTGGTGAAAGCACATAAATAACTGAGGAAATACAATAATACAAGGTATCAAATCTAGGCTACATTACAGTATCCATGTCACATATATTGTTATAATGTTAATATTGTTATATTATTGAATATAATAACTGCACAAATTGAAAACAATGCTATTACTACTGCAAAACTTCAGGGTGCTCCACACATTCCATATATTTACTTAATTATTAATAATTAAATAATAAAAAAAATCCTGTCACAGCTTGGAGGATGCGATTGTTGCCATACAGAATACAAAATCATCCAATTTCCTGGAGGTAAAATATAGTAACATTGATGCTTGATAGTGATGATCTGTGTCAGAAGTAGATGTGTCTCAAAAGCGCGTGAGCTGCCCAAGTAAACCACCTTTTTTGAATATTTACGTCATTCGCAGAATTTCAGTGTAGAGCAGCGATGCCCACAAATGCCGTCTAGATAGACAGACAGCACACTCGGTTTTGAGCACAATTGAAAACAATGCTATTACTACTGCAAAACTTCAGGGTGCTCCACACATTCCATATATTTACTTAATTATTAATAATTAAATAATAAAAAAAATCCTGTCACAGCTTGGAGGATGCGATTGTTGCCATGCAGAATACAAAATCATCCAATTTCCTGGAGGTAAAATATAGTAACATTGATGCTTGATAGTGATGATCTGTGTCAGAAGTAGATGTGTCTGAAAAGCGCGTGAGCTGCCCAAGTAAACCACCTTTTTTGAATATTTACGTCATGCGCAGAATTTCAGTGTAGAGCAGCGATGCCCACAAATGCCGTCTAGATAGACAGCACACTCGGTTTTGAGCACAGCCACTATTACATTGTTGTTAGAATCACCGCAGACATCTATCTCCATTACAGCTACATGTAAAATACATTTATTCTGCTTCGTGAATCCAGAACGCCGATGGCAAACATTTAGACAACATAAAATATTTGTAATTATGCAAGGGACAATTTGAAGCCAAATCTGTTGTGTTGTGTTTGTTATCAACAGACAAACAAATACAATCTGTGCTGGTGGTCTGGCCTTCCTCACGGATTCTTCGTCAATTTTAGGCGGTTTCACAAATGAAAGCGCACTGGAATGGAAACACGATTACATTTCACACCGTAAAAGCAAAAAGACACCATACCTTGTGTGTTTGTGTTTAGGAGTTTATATATTCATATCTTTATCCAAGCGTCGTAGCTCAATTCTGCTATTTTCACTTCATTGGTCTTGCGTCTCCTCTCATCGACTGACAGAAAAAGACGGCCGCTGAGGATGGCGCAGCTCCGCCCTTGACGACCAATCAGAGCGCAGATATTTACCGAAGGAGAGAAATGGAGATCGTTGATTGGCTGAGACACAAGCCCGGCTGTTTCCTTCCATCCATTAGGTTCTGGAGCGATTGAAATGATGCTGCTGGAGACTGACAGGTGCACAATTGCAAAGAAGCCAGACAAAAGGCACCAAATGTGATATTTTAATAGAGTCTACCTTTAAAAGAGCACAATTTCATTAAAACCGCAAATTGGATTTTCTCATCAAGTCGCTGACAATGCATTTTGAAAAAAAATTTGTAATTTAATTGTGTAGTACAAATGGTACAAAATTGATTATTAGAATGTTCACAAGAATGTATAAACTACCAATCGAAAGTTTGGAGTAAGTACGATTTTTTTAAATCTCTTATGCTCACCAAGGCTGCATTTATTTAATCAAAAATTCAAAACTGTAATATTGTGAAATATGATTATGCTGAATTTGAATACGCTGTTTTACTGCTCAGTTTTTATAAATTACTATTGTTTCTCAATTATCAATAATGGTTTTTATTATTATCAATAATGAAAACATATTACAATGTAGGGCTGTAGCTATCGATTATTTTAGTAATCGAGTATTCGAGTAATTGGATAAGAAGTATTTTTTCTTTATTAAAGAGCAATATAAAATATGCAAGAGATAATAAGATAGATCTCTTAAAATAAACAACTAATTTGTTTTCTTTTTTAGAAAAAATAACATTTTTATTGCTGAAATTGCATACATTAATAACCATGAAAACTAAACCCATTTAATGTATTTAATTGCCAAATTGCATTCAAAATGCAAATACAAATATATCAATAAAAAATAAAATAAATAAATAAAAATACAAAAATCTATTTCACATTACTTTAAAAAAGGTAAACAGTACAAACTAAAACTAAGGCATAAATAAAAATAATAGTAATAAAAATAATAATAATACCTAAACATTGCATTTATGTCGTGCAACTTAACTTTCAAGTTTCAGCCTAACTAAAGCTCAAGCATGACATAAGCCTTTACTGTCTTCTTGGAAGGCTTTGTGGCTTTTGTGAGAGGCAAAAATCAGTGGGCAGGAAGGTAACTTGGAACAAGAACAAGAGACCATACACAATTTTTAAACACATTTTTCTGCAACATGAAATGGAAATTGAGTTATTTGGAGAATAAACGATATCAGTATCAAAATTCATCTTTGCAATGCAGAGGAAACACAGAAGCTGCATGGGATGAATTTCCCACACAGAGGGACATGAATGCATTTAACCTGCAGTTACAAATGCATAAATAATATTTTGTTATTTTAAACATAAAACATTGAATACTGATATTTAAAATTATTTTAAAAACGAAAAGATACTTTAAATGTGAAATTAAAACCGCCCTGCTGGCAGCAAGTCACCGTTAAGAAGTGAGTCATTGCGATTGAACCAAATCATTTAAACGGGTGATTCATTCAGGAACGAAACGCCGTCATGTTGCACAGAGACTCAAAGCAGCGCTGTGACTGTGTTTGGAATTTTTTTGTTGGCAAAATAAAGCAAAAACAGGCAATATAGTGTCTAAAACGTAAGTCTCCTAATATTACCTTCTTGTTTGTTGAACTGTTGAATAAAATCACATTTGTAATCATGCTGATTTTAGAGGTGAAATCTGACACTCTTCGTGTGATATTGACTAACTTTCTTTCTGTGGTATTTTATGCACAAGTCTTTTTAAGTCTTGTCCCTGTTTTTTAGTTTATCTATGGTCTGGTCCAACGTTTATCGGTTTGTGCGTCAGTAATAATGGTCCGTGGGGAAACGCTGTGTTCCGTGTGTAGTTACAGTAAATGGACTAAACGAAGCGATGATTTTTTTGTATTCGAGTTACTCGAAGTATTCGAGGAATCGTTTCAGCCCTATTACAATGTTGTGTGCAAATTGTAATAAGTCTTGAGGAGCATTAGAGACGTCTTTCAAAAACATTTTAATAAACTTTTGACCAGTAGTGTAACCTGTGTTGTGTGTGATATACGTTATGTAACCTTACAATTGCACAAACACAAAATTGTGAGCAAGATCACTCATCCATGGTGTGTATTGTCTTTTATGATAAATTATAAACAATCAACAAGCTTACTAAGAGTAAAGAAAAACTCTGTGTCATACAGTGATTGAAGTACAAGGAAATCCTTGGCTTGCTAGTGTCACTGTAGATGGACGTCTTCAGATTGTCAATTTTATATTGTTTGACAAATTCCATAAGCATTCAAACTATTAACATTTACATCTGACTTTGAATATTTATTCACATATCTTGAGACAGGTAGAAAAAAAGCCAACTTATAAATAGTCAACACGAGTATAAAAAATAAAATGCTTTAGCATTGTTGTAAAAAATGACAAAGAAAAAAAAAACTATGTATCTGTATTACTTACATGGCTGAATCATATGCACCTCTTTATCTTGATTGCATGCTTCTGTTCAGTCAGGAACCATTTACTTTGTTGACCAAGACAACTCTGAGGCATTCTCTTTAATGTGTCTTTTCTGTGAAATGGCAGAGCAAGCATTAAAGGGGTCATATGATGCTGCTAAAAAGAACATTATTTTGTGTATTTGGTGTAATGAAATGTGTTTATGCGGTTTAAGGTT